AGATATGCTTGGGCATTCTGTGCAGCAGTGGTAAATGTCTTCTGGAGACCTCACTGGCAGAATATAAAATTCATTATGAAGTAGATAAGAAGTATATGTGAATTTAACATAAAAATACTATGAGCCAAAAACAGTTCTTTACGCACTTTCTAACACTTTTCCAGTTGGGTTTATGCTCTTTTCAGCAAAGACCATCTGTCACCAAGACTAAACATTGTTTTGCCAATAAATGTTACACTTATTAAAAGGTTTCTTAAATGTAGAATTAATTTTCAAGTACAGGCATCCCTCCACAGGTAAAATTTTAAAATAAATACTCTAAAACTTTTTCTCTAAAGGAAGGAGAAAAACAGACTTCTATGCCTCTTGATGTTTGCTTTTTTTCTGTGTCTTTAGTGGAGAAAATTTTATTTTACATCTAACTGTTATGGTACTAAGATTTATACAAATAATTCAGACATTTAATAAAGATATTAAAACTCAGGTTTTATTATTTTTTCAGTTATAATGGCAAAGTTTAAATGTTTATTTCTTCCCAGAGCAAAGATATACTTCTGTATCACTGTTCTGTTACAATTTTGTTACTCAAGACAGCTTCTGGCATGAAAGGAGAAGGAGGAGGGTGAAACAATCGCTATAGAACAGCCGTGTGTCAGCCCAGATCTAGTGTGAGAGAGGGGCGGTGGGAGAGGTGGTCCTACAAGGCCCCACGAGTACATGACGGCGCATCCCACCCTGCAGTCAGGCTGGCCTGTACCTCCCAGCCCTCGAAGAGGTGTCATTCAGGCCGCCTTGCTTAGCCTACACCTTAACCCCTGTCCTTTTCTCTTTCCTCTTGGGCTGCTCCCACTGGCACATTCTGATTAGGGACCTTGTCTCTACACCAGCCTTTAATCATTAAGACAAGAATATACTTGCTACCTTCAAACCATCTGTGGCAGGTAAAATCAAGCAAAAACATTGGGAAGTCTTAATACATTACCTCATATCCTTACTAATTACATCTAGTGAGCAGATATTTTCTAATCACGATTCCATATGGTGTTAACTACTTTTAAATATAAAATGTGTATGCAGCAGAGAGTGTTTCTTCAGCTATATCAATAGGAAATCAGCTCTTTTTGAATGAGGCTTGTTTCACTTCCCTAGTTTAAGGATCTCCCAAAAGCTCAAGCCTAAATCCTGTGCAGCTGGTTAGTTTCTGTGATTCCTGACCAGTGCACATCTGAAGCTTAGCCAGCCACTCCCCAAGACAACCAAGCCCTAAAGAAATGATGGATCAGCATCAACCCATCCATCGATGCCACAGGGAAAAAAAGTCCAGGCTCACTGGAAGCATTATCTACACATGAGACAAAAGCCACTAGCAAATTTGAAACAACTCTGATGGCTAGGTTTGGAGCTACATTTCCTTTATTTTAAATTATTCAGGGTGCTCCACAACCTTAGCCTCTTCCACTTTCTGCAATAGCCTCTTCAGTACTTCGCAGACTGCATCAGTGAATCCCCCACCACTTGTGAAGCACTTTATCCTCATGGCCAGTCTCTAAGAATCTATTGCTGCATTCTTCCCAACGACTAACTTCCCCATTCTCTACCACCACGAACTTCCATTCTACCACTGTGTCTGCCGGCAGGGACACAGAACGAGACCAGAGCCCATCCTTGCTACCCTGGAGTGGGATGTAAGCCTTCCACCTCCCAAGACTCTCATGGTCTCCAGTTATTGCAATGAACTGCACACCAGCACTTGTGATATAATGGACCTGGAACCTGATGCTAACCTGCCGAGACTCTGCAGACACTGCTACTGCCCTTTTTGGTTTCACACCCACTTCCTGACCTCTTGCTTCCATAAGAGTACTTCTGCCATAGTCCTTTCCCTGGTTAGAGCTTAACACTGGAGCCTCAGGACTGCCTCCCAGACCAACATCTCCCCAAGATGAGTGCCGGGACATCATCTCACAGTCCTCATGGTCAGCCCGGGCCTGACTGTCCAGCTGTGCAAGGCTCATGTCTTCTTTTGCTCTGTCCAGGAACAGGTTGCTAGAAGGCAGCTTCTCTGCCGAACGTGGAGTTGCTTTAGCAGGTGTCTTTTGGCCTTCTTGGAATCCCTGTTCTCCTGTGGGAGATCCAAGGCTTTTATGTCTTGATACATTAGAGTGACTTTGAGCATTACCAGTCCCTGAGGTAGCTAGAGATTCTGAGTCTGGAAACTGTCCAGAAGGAACATGTGCTCTTGACTTGTCCCAGTTACCACCTTCTCCAGAAGGACTCTGCAGTCTCCATGCTGCTTCTTGCAGGTCACCAGGGCCTTTGGTCTCAGAAACCAAACGTCCATTGCTTTCTTGAAGATGCTCTAAAAATAATAATAATAATAATGAAAAATGTAATAATGTTAGGCAGTTCATGTGAGAAAGAAGCAAGTTAGGCTGAGAAAATATGTTTAGTTATTAAAGACTTTGCTACTAACTTATCTGCAGTTCACAGACTCTGTCTCTGTTAAAATCAAGTACTTAACTACCTAGTATGGCCACAACACTGTGCTCTAAGAGTACACATGCATATCCCATAATAAAATGCACGTCCAAGAGTGTCAGTATACCAGCACAAGAGTGTAAATGAGGTGGCAAGCTGGAGAGCGGAAGTGTAACCCTGTCACGGTCCTGGATCTCCGCACTCCAGGCCACACTGGCGTGCAACCAAGTCAAGTTGTTTGGCTCCTATCATCAAAAAATGTTGTCCAGCCTGTGTGGCAAAGAGCTGATGGTTACTCTGTAAACCAGAAGAGTACACTCGTACCCCCAGGAACTACATGCAGGTCAGGGACTGGCTCTCACAGGTGCGGGCAGATTAGCTGCAGCTGTCACTGTGGGAGAATTCAAAGGACAGCAGTGCGTCCCTAGGCCAGAAATGGCGGTGAGGGTCAGGGAGAGGGCTGGATTCTCCCTGCCAATCCCATGTGCATCAGAAACTTCTTCAGCTTTTTATATCCCCTCCCATTGTATACTTTAAAAATACATATTCTTAAGAGTACACAATCCAAGCTCCCTAAAGACTTAGTTTCCTTTTTGGCCACCTCCTTGATGATCCAAATAGCTCTCTGCAAGATGGAAATCTCCACAACCATACAATCAGTACAGATGGGGGTTTGGGGTGGGAACAGGGACGTTTTGTTTAATTTTGTCTCTTTCTAATGGTGGAATTGAAAGTAAGACATAAATATTACTGAGTTCCCCATCTTTCAACCTACAACATGAGGCTGGCTTTCACAAAAAAGAAGATAAATGGGATCTGTGCTCATCCAAAACCAGCCGCAGGAAAGGCACACATTGAACACCACTCCACTAAAAGTTTTCAGGTGTCATTTTCACCACTGGGCTGGCGTTCAGGCATGGGCAGCTCGCCCAGGGAGGGCCCTGGAAAGTAAGGTTTTCTGTCAGTGCGCTTTGCCCAGCATGCAGGGTCTAAAATATAGAGATGAAAACCTAGATATCAATTCTACTCATCGGAGTCGGGTCCTCTATTAAGCACCCCTATTAAGTGTGTCTCTTCCCTGGGGTTTCAGACAACCCTGCACCGTCCGGGGTGAGCATGGGGGAGGCCCGACGGCTCTGATACGGGCGGCCAGCGCGCAGCCCCAGGGCCTCAGCCGAGGCCTTCATGGCCAGAGTCCAACCTGAACTTTGCCTCCCTGACAGAAGCGTCCAGATAGTGGGAGGTGCTCACTGCTCCAGTGTTCCCGAACGTGGCTCTTCCATGGGGTGAGGGATGGGAAGACATGAGGCTGTGGGACTGGGACTGAGACAGAGTCCCTGTCCGGCCAGAAATTGGAGAGGGCCGTAGGTCCCCTAGCTCTAAGCACTCCTTTCCAAAGGTCCTGAAGGGGTGCTGCCGCTGCAGCTGCCCGCACTGCACCAAGCGCCGCCAAGCGGAGGAGCCCATCCCCTCTGGAGGGGCCGGTGCAGGTCCTCAGGGGCGGGCGCCGAGGGCAGCGACTCAGCGGGGCGCGGCCCTTGGACGAAGCGCCAGGGCATCTCCAGGGCCTCAGTGGAGGGCGAGAACCCCGCCCGGCGCGTGCGCACCAGCCAGGGGAAATGCGGGCCGCGGAGAGGGTCCTGTCTCCGGTAGAGGAAGCTAGTCCTTGGGAATGGGCCGCTAGGAAAGCTCCAGGTGTGCCTTTTCCTCCCTCAGCGAACTTCACAGCCCCCCTGGCAGATCTGCCCTCGAGACACGGGGAGAAAGAATACCTGGTTTGGTGACCAGCTCCCGCCTAGAAGGTCCAGGGCTCAGACCGCTGCCGCCACCCTGATCGCCTCCCGGAGCCGCAGCCTCCCCTGGAGAGGCGTCCTGTCCCCGCTCCGCGTCCCCCTCCTTTCCCGTGTCCCGCAGCAGCCAAACGAAAAGCGCTCCGGCCAGACCCCCTCCAACCAGCAGGGCGGACCAGACGGCGCCCATGGCTGAGAGGCCGCAGCTGCAGGAGACGACGGCGACCGAGACGGGGGCTCAGGTCACGCAGGCGGAGCCACACCTACCCAGCCCGCTCCAGCCTTTTACGGTCCCGGGCGGCGGGGGCTCCCGCTCGGAGCCCAGCCCTCCGCGACTAGGACTCAACTTTCCCAGCCCCGCCCCGCTTCCCGCCCCGAGGCTGCAGCCTCAGGCTCCAGCCGGGCGGACGCGCGAGCGCCCTCCTTCTCCAATATTTTCCTTCCCGATTCTGCCAGTCGCCGGCGGCCTGGAGTATCGGGCGCCCTGTTTCAGGTGCGTCCCGCGAGCGGAAAGAACCCAAGGGCGCAACGGCTCCGCCGCGCAAACCCGCACCTGCCCCGCTGCCTTCCCCCTTCCCGCTCCAGCTGCCCGTTCGGCAGTCCCTGCCTGGGACTGCGCCGGGCACCTCGGCGCCTCCTCCTCTTCACAGACACTTAGCTGTGGCGCGGTCGGATAGAGACCGAAGCTTCCAGAAACTTAGCGCAGAAGGGGCCGATGTGTGTCGACCACATGGGGCTGCGGCTGGATCTGAGCTGCAGAGGCAGCCGGGGTGGATGGGGTGGGGTAGACCAGGAGCACAGCGGGCGCGGTGGAGTCTGCGTTTGGCCGCCGGTTAGCTGGCTTAGCCTCTGCAAGCTTCCGCCTCCTGCTGTAAAAGGAAAGAATCAGACTAGGATCCTTCCATCTCTAAATGCCAGTCACCTCAGCCACATCCAGTCGACCTCTTTTGGGATGCGTGGTTGTCACAAAATGCGCGCCCTCCTGATTGGACTGGATGTTACACAGAGCCAACTACTACGGATGGGTTTATCAATAAAAATGCAACCATCTTTGCTAAGCGCTGTCAGTGTGCCAGGTGTTTAATGGTTGCGTTTAATTTGATCCCCACAAAACAACAACCCTGGAAACTAAGAATTATACACATTTCTTTCTTAATTCACTCCTCTGCTAATCTGAAGGCTTCACACTCCAACGTCAAGCTAATGGTTCCCATATTTGTATCAGCAGAGTGAGACTTTTCCTTGACCTACACACTCCTACATCCAACTGCTAAGGCCACAGCTGGCAAATATCCGCCTTGGAATAACAGCTAAAATAGCTCTTCTGGTAAGACAGATCGTTCAAATGTGCCTCATGCTTGACGGTACAGCAGCCCCTAAGGGGTGCAAGACCGGCCAGTAGACTTACTGGTGCCGGCGTCCCTACCATCAAGAGGCGGGGAGAGGGAAGATGGGAGAGGAGACCGCGCCAACTCAGCACCTCCTCCTGGACACTAATAGATGTCTCAAATCCAATTCACTCAACTCTGATGTCCCCAGACGGGCTACTTGCTCTGACTTCTTCATCTCGGGAAGTGGCAACCACGTCCTTTCCCGTTCCTAAAAAAGTTGGAGTCGTTCTTGACTCTTCTTTTTACCCCCTCTCACAGTAGTCAGTAGCAAATTCAAAATACATTCAGAATTCTACTTCTCTCCACAGCGAGTGTCACCCTGGGCCTGCCACCATCATTTCTTACCTGGATTACTGCCGTCACCTTGCACAGCTCTCCCTGCTTCCACCTTTGAGCCCTTACATAGTTTCAAATAGCAATCTAAATAATCCTGTTGAAACACTCCCATTTTCTGGGCCTCTGCTCAAGACCCTCTAATTGCTCTACAACTCCTGGCAAAAACCTTTCAAGACTACAGGATCTGCCCCCAGGGTTGTCTCTGAGCTCATCTCTCTCTCTCCCTTCTTCAGCCACCCTGGCTTCCTGCATAGAGTCATTCTTGCTGTCAATATCCATCCGTATAACTAACCTGTCTGCTTCAGATCTTTATACAATGTCATCTGTCCTGTAAACCCTTCCCTGATAATCCCCATTTTAATTACAACCCCTACTCCCTATGCTTTATTTTCTTCTTAGAATTTAGGGCATCAATTCTAATACATTCTACTAATCTAATTCCACCACAGGTTTGTTCTACTTAATTTCTCTTTCCTCTCTTTGGAATGTAAACTACATGAAAGCAGAGTTTATTGTCCTTTGTTCTCTGTTGAATTTCTGGCACCTAGAACATTCCCAGAGTGGTCCCTCAAAAAGTACTGGTTGAATAAGTGAATTAAAAGCTTCATATATTCCCAGTCTGCAGCATTATTATCATCTTCTTTGTATAGATTCTACCTGCTTTTTTTTTAAGCACAATGTAGATGTTGCTTTTTTGTCAAGTAGATTTCATGGCTTACACTAATTAGGGAGTCAATGATGGCCTTTTTAAAAGACCCGTAGTTACACATAGATCTCAATTCAAGCAGCCTTAAGATAACAAAACAAATCTTGAGATGAATATGAAAACAATGAAAAGTAATAGCAAAACTATATCTTTAAGAAAATGAATGTCAGTATACAAAATAGCATTTCCTTTATGGACTCTGTCTTACTAATTGGTTCCTATAAGACTACTGTAGATCTAATATTTTAACAGTCAAAATTTCGTAGAAAAATTTAGAATTATTCCATTTCCTTTTGTCAAAGTAAAACTTGATGTCATACATAGGCTGTCCTTAAATTTTATAAACTCTCAAGCCAATAGAGTGATTTTATATGAAAATCCTTGAACATTTTATTTCCTCACTGATAACTTCAGCTACTGCTTCATCCATCAAAATTTTTATCAATGTGCTAATGAATGAAATTCCAGAAGATGTATAAAGTCCTAGGATGCAAGCTCCACTACTCATTTCTGATACCTAGAAGGCTCTTAATGAAGGTTTATTATTGTTATCAATTGATATTTCATTTATTAAAAATATAATTTAAAAAGACAATTCTTCCCAACTCTTCAGAATTCTTTTTGCATTGTATCAGATGTATCATGCAATATTTTCAAGGAACCTTATTTATTTGGCTTTTCTAAACTTAAATGTTGACTCTGATTACTATGTTGCTGCTTTCAAAGGAAACTCCACTCACTGCCATATTTGTTAAAAGTCTACAGTCACACATTCTAAAAATATACTTATATCATCAACAATACTGTGTTTATCACTATACAGTTGCAAAATAATATTTTTGCCTCCGTTTGGAAGACCTTTGAGCCTAGGAAGGTGGGAACAACAACAACAAAAAAGCAGATTCAGTAGGGATGAGGGAGGAAGATGGTAAGTCGGCTGAGATGGGTTCAATTTGAGATACTAGCAGGAAGTTGGGACTGGGGGTCTATACTTTAAGAAGAGTATCAGGGCTGGAGATACTGGAAATCTCTCACAGGGAGGTTGCAGTTAAATCGTGGTAGAAATTAATATTCTGAGAGGAAATCAAGAATGAGCCTAACTTCAGCCCCTGGTATAATTTCAATAAAGATTGAAAGGCTGCCTCCATATTGCTGCTTATTCACAATTATGTCTTGGTGTTATATTTTAGGGGCCATAATGTAATGGCCATTTTCTAATTGATTATTATTCTATTAAATAGAGTATAAATAGGTAGATAAAGCTATGGATGGATATTTTAAAAATCTAAGCCCACAGGGGTCCCCAGGAAAAATAAGATGAATCTAGGTGATAAAGTATAACCTCTTCTTTTGTGCTTCGTCTGATTTCACTAGGCTTTGCACCCACATGTCAGATCAGCGTTCCCAGCACAGAAGCGCTGCACAGGACACCTCAGCTCTGACACCCCGTGCAGAAGCATTGAGCAGAACATCTCAAGATGGTGGTGGCACAGGCCATGCGCAGAGACACTGGGCGGGCCCTGCGCTGTGAGGCGGCAGCAGTCCAGCTGCGCCTGCGCCGCACGAGAACTCCACCCCCTCCCCGCTGACTGACGAGATCCCTATAAAGCAGCCCCTCCTTGGATGGTCACGAATGAGAGCTTGTGCTCTAGAGCGGGAGCTTATAGGGCTCTGTCTTCTGGTGGAAGAAGAACGCTTTCCTTTGCTGCTGAACTGGGCTATTGGCTGGAGCGCACTGGGCAGGAGGACCCTCCTTGGGAGCCGACACTGCAGAGTGAGTAACATATATATTTATATAAATATTTTCCCCTTTACCTTACGCAAGAAGATTGCTCACTCCTGGTGCTTTGTTTGCAGGGCTGGGGTGGGAGAGGATTAGAGAGAGAGGGAACGAAGAGTTGGGAAAAGAGAGACTCGGGAGACTTGTTTCCAAAGAAAGCCATGCGAGCGGGTGGTGGGGCGGCGGAACGGGGGTGTCGCCCAGCAGAGTTGGTGGGTAGAGGGCTGAGAAGAAAATGGCTGGATTCGGCCCGTATGCGGTCAGGGTGGCTCTGCGGCGTTTGTGGGGGTGGGCGCTCGATTTCAGAAGGCTAAGATGTGGACATGGTGAAGGCCAACGTTGAGTGAGCCCTCCCCTGAGAAATCTGGAGGCAAAAGGTAGGAGAGAAATTGAAGTGTCCCTTGAGAAGAGAACAAGCCCAGGGGAAGCTCTTTCAGACCAAGAGTCGATGTGAGGAGACAGGAGGCCCCTCGTGGGGATTCCACCGGGAGGAGAAAGTGGAGGCCGTGAGGCTGAACACCAGCGGGAGGGGCGGCCTGGGATGAAAGGAGGGGAGGGGACAGGCATGAAGAAAAAGAGGATGTCGTTAAGAAACACTTTGAGGTATAAATGGGGAGGAGTCAGGTTATCTACCCGCTAAGTGAGAGAGAGGAAATCCGGTTGAGGTTTTGAGGACAGCAGAGCATGTAGGAAGGAAATGGCCTCGGGGAGAAGAGGTTGCCCTTGGGAGTCCTGTTGGTTCTTCCATTACAGGCCTGTTGCGTTCCTCCCTTCGTGTCATTCACAGTGTCTTTGCCCCCTATTCAGATGCCACTATGATCTTGGCACCTCCCTCGGCTCTGGCTGTGACCCTCTCTGCAACCACTCCTGGTTTAACCCTCCTCAAGTACAGCCCTGAGCAGGGCATCTCCCTCGGCCCGATTAAATTCAACCCCATTTTAGCCTTCAGGGTCTCCAGGACACAGCCCAGCAACCTCTCCAGGCCTTTTTCTTCCACTTATCAGCACTCCAGCCAAACTGGGACTCCCGCGCTAGAGCCTTCACTTATTGGTCTAGACATTTTCCAAAAGGCACTTCCTTCCATGAGACTTTTCCCCAGCCCCCAATCCCACCCCCCAACCCCCAAATTGATATGTCATTCTTCTCTTTGAACTCCGATTACATTTTGTAACTCTCTTAGAGCAAACTATGAGGTTTTCTCTTATGGTATAATTATTTTTGTAGTGTATCCTTGCCCATATTAGATCATAAATCCCTTAAGGGCCAGAGTTTGTTTATTCTTTGTATTCCCCAGAATGCAAAGTCTGTTATGCAATAGGCCTTTTTATTGTCTTTGTTCATTGAATGCCTAATATACACAGGCCCTAAGCTAAGTGGTGTATAAGGATTATCTCATAAATTCCTGAGAGAACTGATTTGCCCAAGGTCATACAGCTGGTGAGTGACCAAACTGGGATATGAACCCAGTGTTCTGACCTCCCAGGACTCATGGTTGAAACTCTAGCTACACTGAATCCTAATGGCTATTAATCCAAATTTCAAAGCATGTATTTTAGAAGTGAGTGTGCAAATTGAGGTATGTGACACCAGAGAACCTCTGTGGTAGTATTCCAGCATTTACGGTGAATTACCGCCTTGCTCTTGGTTTGTAATTCCTCTCCACAAGCCCACACCTCATTAGGGAGATGTACTCACAAGCACCTGTCCGTTGCTGTCAAGCCTCTGGCTCCTGCTGCTCCACATAACATTAACCACAAGTCAAACCTTTCTGCAAAGCAGTCACATTGGAACTGCCCAGCTTCAGATTTCACAGAGACATTTTCTAATTGCAACTGTTTGCAAACCTCTGACTCATCTTAGTTCCAGAATAGACTCAAGGCTGAGATCTCTTACACTGAATGATGAAACCTTTACACCAAAGGAAAATCTGTGTTAGGAGAAAGAGCTAACTGTACAGAGAAAAATAAAGTTAGATTACTACTTTGTACCATGTAAATTGATGGACTCCAGATGTAATGAAGTCCTAAATGTAAACGGTAAAAGTACAGAGCTAATAGAGCAAAATCCAGGAGACTATCATTGTGATATTGCATAACACAGGAGGCCAAAACACTTCTTGACCTCGTCAAAACAAAGCTATCTGGTGAATGAGGTTGCTGTAGACAAAGTTAGCAGATAGATCCATAGGGGGAGCAGATTTTTGTGTTGTTAAAACCGACAAGGCATTAATATGTAGATATAAGATGAACTCATACAAATTGATCACAAAAAAAAAAGACATGAAGTCCAATATAAAATGAAGATGAGATGCTTTTCCCAGGTGCCTAGAACAATGCCTGGAACATAATAGGCACTCAGGATTGTTTTTTCTTTAATATATGAATGGCTAGTAAAAAGGAGCAGAAATGTTCAAATTCACTGGTAGTCAGATAAATGCAAATTAAAACAGTGATACTACACCATTTTACATCCACCAGAAAGGCAAATATGAGAAAGATCTGATGCTGCTGATGGGAGAGTAAGCAGGTACAATCTGGAGAACAATCTGAAAGAATTTTGTGAAATTAAGTTATGCATATATCCCAGGACCCAGCAGTCCCACTCCTGAACGTGTATGGCCCAGAGAAAATTTTGCACAAGACTGTAAGCGGACACGTGGTGTTATTTGGGGCAACAGTACATTCAAGGCCACCAAGCTGCCCATCATGAAATAGTATGTAAAATGTGATGGATGTCTATGAAATACTGTGAGGTAGAGAGAGCAATGAATTGGATCTACACACAGTAATGTAATTAAATCTTAAATACATGTTGGTAATTAAAAGGTAAGAAACAAGATTTCTAGTACAATAACATTTATATACATTGAAAATACATATGCATTCATAATAACACTACTTAGGTTTCAAGGGTACATGATTAAGACCAGTTCTTAAACAAATTAAAGAGAATGTCTTTGTTGGGCACAAGGGTAGGAATGGGCTTTGGAATAAGGGGGAAACGAGTGAATGAGTAAATAACCAGAGGAGGGCCTTCCACAGACCAGTGAGGGTAATAGCTCTGAACCAGGACTTCTCAGACCGAGGTGTGCAGAGGAAGCGTTGCCAGCATTCCTAAGGGGAGATTCCTACTCAGCAGGTCTGGGGTGGGGCCTGGGATTCTGCTTTTTCTAAGAAGCTGCCAGTTAATACTGATGCTGCTGGTATGTAGACCTCACTTTAAGCGGCAAGGAGACTAAGGAGTAAGGTTAGCTCAGATCTGGAAGCTTTAAAGAGAACAGGAGGAAGGAAGGAGGTGATCAGGAAGGGAAAAAGGGAAATCGTTTTTAAGAGTGGTGTTGAGGGCATCCAGAGCCGGGCAGCGGGTCTGCAGCACACAGAGGGGAAGAGGCAGGAGGCACTGTCTTCTTCTCCTGGTCAGTCATCCCAGGCCATGCCGCACACACCAGTGATGTTTCCCTCACTAGAGTGCAAGCTCACGAGGGCAGAGGGTGTACAGGTTCCTCCTAGTGTCCTGCATAGTCAGGTACTGAATGAATGTGCATGTACTGAATGAATGAATGAATATCAGGAATGGTGAAGCACCAAGAGTGTATTTACCATAAGTGGTAAATGTCCAGAACATAATTTGTTTAAGAATTGGTAGTTATCTTCTTGGGGGAGAGTGAGGTAGATTATAAAAGGACATACCTAAGCAAAACCAGGGTGAGGGCAAAGTTTGAGGTGACCTTTATTCCCCGTTTCTTGTCTTTTTCCTCTTTTCAGTATTATTCTTTTTTGTTGTGGAAGCATAGTTCATTTTAAATGTTGTGTTAGTTTCTGGTGTACAGCATAATGGTCTGTTATACATATAGATTCCTTTTCATATTCTTTTCCATTATAGATCATTACAAGATATTGAATATAGTTCCCTGTGCTGTACAGTAGGACTTTGTTGTTTATCTGTTTTATATATAGTAGTGTGTATCTGCAAATCTCGGAATCCCAATTTACCCCTCCCTCCATTTTCCCTTTGGTAACCCTAAGTTTCTTTTCTATGTCTGAGTCTATTTCTATTTTGTAAATAAAAACTCATTTGTGTCATTTTTTTAGATTCCACATATAAGTGATATCATATGACATTTGTCTTTTTCTCTCTGACTTACTTTACTTAGTATGGTAATCTCAGTATTATTCTTTAATTGCTCCCTGATCACACCTACCACCCGACCATGGCATTATAAGTATTGTTATCCGTTAAAATGTGTCAGAAAAAAAGCTGATGTCTCACCAATACCTTAGGGTTAATTTACTTGATATTTTAAAATCTAGAGGGGAAACGAACTAAAAGGATGGATTTCAAATGGAAGCATTTCGTACACTGGGCACCTGCGTGGGAATGGCTTTGAGGAAGCAGGGCTCCTCCAGCCCTCCACACCAGAGTGTGCAGAACCCCCTGTTGTGCTCATAGACAGTGGGTCTTATACGTGCACCATTGCTCGTGCCCTGGAGCAAAGTGGGCTATGTCACAAAGAAGTACAACAGACCAGAATCACTTCTTAAATGGGCAAGGTCACCTGTAATAAAAAAAATACAAATTAAGATACCAGTTTTTGTCTATCAAGTTGGCAAATTTTTTTAAGAGAAAACTAATATTGGCAAAAATGCTAAGAAAAAGTACACATATTCAACTTGTGAACGTGGGAAAAGATACAAACTTTTTGGATGGCAATTTGGCTATCCAAAACCTTAAAAAAATAAATAAATAAACAACTTCGTGTGTGTGTGTGTGTGTGTTTACATACGTACATATATAAATACTTTTTGACAAGAATTTCAAAGTCTGGGAATTTTGAGTGAGTAGAGGTCAGGGATGCTGCTAAACATTCTATAATGCGCAGACAGCCCCTCACAACAAAGAATAATTCTGTCCAAAATATCAATACTGCTGAGGTTGAAAAACTGCCCTATAGCGTGTGATCCAAGAAAAGACAAGGAGGAAGCCCAGCGCCTTTTATAACCTAGTCTTGGAAAGCACACATCACCTCTTCTGCCACATTCTATTCATTAGAAGGAAGCAACTAAGTGCAGACGACCTTCCAGAAGAGGAGAGCTAAACTCTTCCAAATTTCCTTTGAAGGAAAGGGTATCAAATTATTTGTGGACATAGTTAAAGACCAGCACAGTCTGTCCTCCAGACACAAATTATTTACATTGCTCTTATGTGCAAAGTACTGTCTTTTGAAAAGAGGTTATATCAGGTAAGTTGTGCACCTCTTCTTAAACAAACACAAACCTCCCAAATCAGGGAGTCCTTGGGATTGTCTAAAGGAATCTCATGTCTTGCAGCTGTTGAACTGAGAGAGAAAAAGAAAAAAAGCGACCCTTTAATTTGCTGGATTAGAACATCATTTTAATTCACAGCTTTGCAAGATCTCTCACGTGAAGATAGTGTATCGACTGGGAAAGAGTGAGGCCCGGAATGCTGACGTGTACTTATGGGAGGATTCAGATGGCAGCAAGTTGCCTAAATCCCAACCTTCTGGAAATAAACTACTCACACCTCCTGTTGCAGGGAGTGCAGTTGACTGATGGACTCAGCTGCGTCCCCTCTGGATCTTTTACCCTCTCACTGAGGCCACACTCCTTAGGCTCTTCCCCGCCAGTGACTGAGGATGCAGAAGTACCAAGGCAGGTCTGTTTTAGCAAAGTGTGAGACGCCTCCTCTTGGCTGCTTTGACTTGAGGTCTCCCTGTTGGCCTGACCAGACCTTTATTCGAATTGTGCTTCAGTTCAAGATTCTTCCTACCCAAATCTTCCTTCGTTCTCCCCTTCCTTCCACAGGGATC